TCTTTTAAGTGGGGCTGATGCACCAGTCCCCCAAAAAGAACTTGTGGGCAACTGGAGAGTCTGTGTTCCATCTTAACTGGGCAGACGCTACTCCATTCTGGCCAATTGTAATGTTGCAGGAATGCAAGCCAGGGTGGCCAGGCCTTGCAGAAGGAAAAAAAAAGCCAGAAACCTGGATTTTTATTTCAAAATCCTCAATTTCATTTGTTAATAACTAACAGGCAAATCAGAGTAGTATTTATTAAGTACTTCCTATATGTCAGGTACTTTCCTAAGCACTTTATAGGTGTTAATTATTTGATCTTTATAATGACCTATAAGGTAGTTACTATCATTATCTCCACTTTACAGATGAGGAAAGTGAGGCCCAAACAATAAGTTGTCCAAAGTCATATGGATAGCAAGTGGCAGAGCAGGGTTTGAACTCAGGCATCTGGTTCTAGAGACTACCATTTTACTCATTATGCTTTACTGCTATGAACTTAATGTGGCCATACATCACAAGTTTTTGATCTTTGTTAGCCACCAGTGCAATCCAATAGAGCTTTCTGCAATGACAGAAACGCTCTATTCTGTGCTGTCCAATATGTTAGGTGCTAGCCACAGGTGTCTATAGAGTACTTGAAATGTGGCTAGTGCAATTGAGGAACTGGTTTTTTTTTTTTTTTTTGAGGAATATTAGCCGTCAGCTAACATCTGCTGCCATCCTCCTCTTTTTTGCTGAGGAAGATTGGCCCTGAGCTAATATCTGTGCCCGTCTTCCTCCACTTTATACATGAGATGCCTGGCACAACATGGCTTGATAAGTGGTGCTAGGTCCACATGTGGGATGTGAACTGGCGAAGCCCGGGCCGCTGAAGCAGAGCGCACAAACTTAACCACTATACCACCAGGCCGGCCCCCTGAATTTTTAATCATATTAAATTTAAATAGTGTCATGTGGCTAGTGCCTACTATATTAGACAATGTGGCTGTAGACTTTTCTCTCTCAAACTACCAGTTTTTTCAATTTCTTAGGTTTTTTAATTTAATTTTTTTTCAATGCCTTAATTCCTACCACTTCCTCCCAGCAGAGCATTTTATTGCTCTCTTTATTTTTTTCAAAAACATTTCTCTCCTTGTGTTTTTAAACCACGTTCTGCAGGGTTTAATATTTTGATATTCACGGACTCATGGGGCCCAACAAGCTATTTTCCTCCACAGAAGAATCACTGTTCAGATAGGAATCATGCTATTCTCCCAGGGGCAGAAATATAACTGTTGTGGCTTTTGTTTCCTAGATAGCATTTCCCCCTCTTTGATGGATGTTGATAAGTGGAAAAAGATTAGAAAGATATATACTAAAATGTTAATGGTTATGTTTAGGTATAAGAATTATGTGTCACCTTTATTTTCTTTCTTGTGCCTTTTTAATTTTTCTACAATGAACATGTTGGCCTTTCAAAGTCATAAACAAATAGTTATAAAACAATTGTCTTCAGAATTCCCAGGAGGTCGGTAAAGGAAAGCCTCGGGAAGGGAGCCTTGCAGAGGCTGGAGAGCAACCTGTCCAGGTCGGGGGAGGGGCTGCACAAGGGAAAAATGGAATGAGGGATTATCTGACAAGTTTGCACAAGAAATTGGATTGAGAGGCATTTACAGAGTCCTCGGAGGGTGTAGGAAGCCTCAAGAGAGCCAAACAAAGCTGAGCACTTGGAAAAAGGAGGAAATTCACCCCAGGGAAAACAAAAGGGCAATGTCTTTGACTCTGTCGTCATTGATATTTACATAGTCACAGTAACGAAGGCACGAAGTATTAGTTAACCAAAGTTGTGTGAAAACACATTGAGAAGGGAGGGTAAAAAGTGAAGTATGAGGGGCCAGCCCTGTGGCCGAGTGGTTGAGTTCGCGCGCTCCGCTTCAGAGGCCCAGGGTTTCGCCAGTTCCAATCCTGGGTGTGCGAACGTAGCACCACTCATCCAGCCACGCTGGGGTGGCGTCCCATATGCCACAACTAGAAGGACCCACAACTAAAAATACACAACTATGTACTGGGGAACTTTCGGGGAAAAATAAAATCTTTAAAAAAAAAAAAAAGTAAAGTACGAGTCAAATCCTCCAAGTCTATAATAGGAAGCTCATGGGTAATACAAGCAAATGAAATTTTAAGAATTACCAGTGTAAGCTTGTTATTAGAGATATGGGTGTAAATACCAGAAGAAACAGCTAAAAAGGAGTTAAAAGTGGTTGGAGCTGAGGAGCTGGACTTGGGGTGGGAGTGGGGGAGCAGAGAGTTCCTGTTTTTCCTTTAAGCCTTTTTCTTCTGTTTAACTTTTTAGCTTTTAAAAAACTCTGTATCTATTATTTTATTAGAGACAAAATTTTTAATGGAATTTTTAAAAAATTCCTTTCGATGACCAGGAAACAGGTGTGGCACTACTTTGGTTTTCTCTTCTCCCGGTGATGTCAGGTGGATCCCTGCTTCCCAGTCTCATCCTGGTTGGGCCACATTTTTGTCAGGCATGGTGACCAGGATGGGACGCCTCGCCCATGCAGGCTGAATGACTAAGAGGGCGGGAAAGGACTCCCCCACACATCCCTTTGGCTCTGACAGTCTCATCTTCCTTGAGCAGCCACATGGCAGAGAACTTTTCCAACAAGAAAATTGAGTTGTGGGGCTGATGAAGCGGCAGGACAGTCACTCTTGGGAGGAACCCTAAGGCCAGAGGATGGTGCCAGGAGTGTAGAGGGAAAGAGCCCAGGGTGTGGTTCTGTCAATTAATTACCTTGGCCCAGCATGTGCCAAGGGGGCCCAGCGGTGTGCCAGCTGCAGTTGGAGGTGGGAGAGGTACAGGAGACACACAGGACCTGGTGTTCACTTGGTCTCCCTGCCAAAGAATTCAGGGTCCAGGAAGATTCACAACGTCCACCCTAGATGGTCCAGGCCCTCCTCCCCACCCAACCTCGCTGGAGACAGACTGTCTAAGGAAGACGGGACAAGGGCATGAGCAAATCTCCTCTTCCTGCTTCTCCACTTTCTTGCCCCCTAGAAGCCCAGCCCAGGAGTCCCACTGGGAAACATGATTTTTTTCTATGTGTGTGTGGTAAAATTAAAATAACAGATTTACCATTTAACTGTTGTGGGGGTTTTTTGGGGGGTTTTTTTTGCAGAGGGAGTTTAGCCCTGAGCTAACATCTGTTGCCAATCTTCCTTTACTTTACATGTGGGTCACTGCCACAGTGTGGCTGACGAGTGGTGTAGGTCTGCACCCAGGATACGAACCCACAACCCTGAGCCACCAGAGCAGAACGTGCCAAACTTAATCACCATGCTACTGGGCTGGGCCCCATTTTCACCATTTGTAATTGTACAGTTCACTGGCATTAAGTACATTCACATTCTTGTGCAACCGTCACCACCATCCATCTCCAGAACTTTTTCCTCTTGCAAAACGGAAGCTCTGTGCCTATTTAACATAACTCCTCATTCTCCACTCCCCCTCAGCTCCTGGAAATCACCATTCTACTTTCTGTTTCTATGAATTTGACTACTCTAGGAACCTCATGTAAGTGGAATCACACAATATCTGCCCTTTCGTGTCTCACATTTCACTTAGCATAATGTTTTCAAGGTACATTCATGTTGTAGCATGTGTCAGAATTTCCTTCCTTTTTAAGACTGAAGAATATCCCATTATAAACATATACCATATTTTGTTTACCCATTCATCTTTTGGTGGACACTTGGGTTACTTCCACCTTTTGGCTATTGTGAATAATGCTGCTAAAAACACATATACAAATATCTTTTCCAGTCCTGCTTTCACTTCTTTTGAGTATTTACCCAGAAGTGGAATTGCTGAATCATATGGTTTAATTTTTTATGTTTAGTTCTGTGTTTCTTTTTCTGAGGAATGGCCATATTGTTTTCCACAGTGGGTGCATCATTTTATATTCCCACCAGCAATGCACAAGGGTCCCAATTTTTCCACATCCTTGCCAATACTTATTACTTCTGGTTTTTGTGGGTTTTTTAAAACAGTAACCATCCTGATGGGTGTGTGCACCAATGTTTTTTCCCTCTCCTCTCCTAGTCTTTCCCAGTATGGCAGTGGTTTAGTTATAATGGAAGACTGTGGGTTGAATTAGGCTGATTGGCTTGAGGTGTCAAGGCTGCACTGGGGGACACTGACCCAGCTTGGGACTGGGTAGGCAGGACTAGGGGAGATGGATTTCATCACCTTGCAGCCTAGTCTTGAAACAGACTTGAGTAATGGTTAATGGCTCCAACTTCAGAGCCAGAGCCTGGTTCAAGTCCTCACTGTGCCTCTTCCCAGCAATGTGACCTTGAGAAAGGCATTAACCTTTTCAAACGAAGCTTCCTCCTCTAAACAAACGGGATAACACTGAAATGTCCCTTCTAGGGCAGTTCTGAGGATTAAGTGACAATGTCCAGCACATAGTAGGCACTCAGTAAATGTTATCTATTTTTGTTAACTCTTGCCAGGAAAGGTTATAGCTTTAGACCCACCCAAATGGCACCAAGTCCCCTGCTATGGTCTGAATGTTTGAGTCTCCCTGAAATTCATATGTTGAATCCTAACCCCCAAGGTGATGGCATTAGGAAGTAAGACCTTTGGGAGGTGATTAGGTCATGAGGGTGAAGCTCTCATGAAGGAGATTAGCGCCCTTATAAAAGAGATTCCAGAGATATCCTTGCCCTTTCTACAATGTGAGATTACATTTTGAAGATGGCCGTCTATGAACCAGGAGGCAGACTGAGACCAGACGCCGAATCTGCTGGCGCCTGGATCTTGGACTTCCCAGCCTCTAAAACTGTGAGAAATCAATTCCTTTTGTTTAAGCCACCCAGTCTATGGTATTTTGTTATAGCAACCCTAGCTGACTAAGACTCCTTTCCATATTTGGTCCACAAATATTTATGGAATGCCTACTGTGCACCACGCACCAAGCTAGGCACAGGGGATACAGTGATAAACAAAAACAGACAAGGACCAACTCTCGTGGAGCTTATACTCCAGTGAGGGAGAAAGACTTGAGTTGAATCATCACCTTAAATGAATGGATGATTACAAAATAAGATAAGTGCTGTTGTGGCAGGGGTTCTAGTAGTCCCTCAATGTCCATTGTCCCCTTCCTTATGAGTAATAGAACTTTCCATTTCCAGATGGTTACCTGGAATAAGGACTACATTTACCAGCCTTCCTGCAACTAGACATGCCATATGGTAAACTCTGACCAATGGGATGTAAGCAGAAGTGGTATGTACTTCCAGAAAATATCTTTAAAGGGAGGAGGCTTGCCCTTTTCCCCTCTTTCTTCTTCTTGTGTGTAGGAATGTGGACATGTTGACTGGAGCTCCAGCTGTTGTCTTGGACCAGGCGGTAACCTTGGGAATGAAAGCCATGTGTACTGGAGCAACAAGATAGAAGAAGCCTGGGTCCTAGACACCACAGAGCCCAGGGCTTCTGAATGTGAGAGAGGAATGAACTTTGGTTTTGTTTAAGCCACTGTTATTCGGAATTTTTCTGTGATTTTCAGCTATAACAGGAATATATGTGGTTATATCAGCATATACAACATGAAATCTGACCCATACTGGAGAGCTTCTCTGAGGGAATGATGCTTGGATTGAGTTAACCAAGAATAGAGTAGGATGGAAAAGGTTTTCAAACAAAGGGAAAATCCCATGCAAAGGCCCTGAAGTAGAAAGGAGCTTGACATATTGAAAGGACAAGAAGGAAGGGCAGGGTGGCTGGGACAGAATAAGCAAGGAGGGAAGTAGCACAAAATGAGGTTGGAAAGATGACCACATAGGGAATCACAAGCCTGTTAAGGCTTTTGGTCTTTATCCCAAGGGTAATGGGGAGCCATTGAAGGGGTTTCAGTGAGGGATTATGGGATTAGACTTGCTATCCCTGAGGCTATTTTCATCCACCTGGAACACAGTTACCATCCCCCAACCCCAAAATATCCTTAAGGCTGGGACCACATATTGTTTACCTGTGGATAAATTTGTTTTTTGTTGTTGTTGTTGTTGTGGTAAAATATATAGCACAAAATTTGCCATTTTAACTATTTCTAGGTGTGCAATTCAGTGGCTTTAATTACACCCGCAATGTTGTGCAACCGTTGCCACTATTTCCAATTTTTTGCGTGGATGAACTTTTGTGCTTACTAATCATTTAACAACTGTGTGTAGGATTGAACTGCATCATCGCAGCACTCATTGTGTGTGAATTCCTAGAAAGTGGGCTGTGGGCTGTGAGGAGGAGTTGACCAAGTCTGAGACAGGTGGGGCCCGCCTGAGGAATGTCACACCCAGGCCGGCAACCTGCCAGCTGTCACCAGACAGGTTATTTGGTGTGTCTTACTTAAGAGGAAGAATTTATCCCCTGAACTGGAACCTGGGTAGAGACCAGAAGTACTGATGTTTCCTCTCTTCCAGGATCTTAGGAAAACATTCTGACCTAGTTGATCTACCAGAGAACGCTGGAGACTTGGAGAACTGATTTTGTCTGTGTTTCTCAACCTGGGCAAACAGTCCTCTGGACATACACAGTGGTGTGCCCAGGACACATGAAGCCCCAGGCTAGACAGGGCATCTTCCTGGAGCATTCATTTGACTTGATGAGAAACAATTTGCATGCTTTTATTTTTATACAAATGTACATATATTATGAGACAGAAAGTAACTTACAATGAAGTTTAAGGGTAAAATATGAAGCTTTGAAGAAATTGTACTTGCTGCTTGGGCCTTACTCTCAGATTTCCCCTGCTGATAGCGGCATTTTGATATAATGTAGCAATTATGACTCTCAAACCAAACAGCCCAGAGTCGGCTCTTACTCTGACATTTCTTTTTCTTTTCTTTTTTGAGAAAGATTAGCCCTGAGGTAACATCTGCTGCCAATCCTCCTCCTTTTTTTTGCTGAGGAAGACTGGCCCTGAGCTAACATCCATGCCCATCTTCCTCTACTTTATATGTGGGACACCTGCCACAGCATGGCTTGCCAAGCAGTGCCATGTCCGTACCCGGGATCTGAACTCGCGAACCCCAGGCCACCAAAGCAGAACGTGCGCACTTAACCACTGCGCCACTGAGCCGGCCCCTGACATTTCTTAGCGTGTCATCTTGGGCAAATCATGTCACCTAGCTGAGTCTCAGTTTCCTAATCTGTAAAACAAGAAACATGATTGTTCCTAACTCACAGTCAGTTATATGTTAAATGCTAATAAAATGCTAAGCACATACCAGGTATTTGCTAAGACTTATTGATATTGGTAGTAGCAGTAGTATCAGATGGAAATGTCTCAGACCTTTGGCTCTTTTTTCAAAAGTTTTAAACTTGTAGTACTAGCAGTATTATCTGCTGATTGTAAAATATTCAAACATTATGGAAGTAAATATAGGAAATCATGAAAGTTCCCTCTCACCCTAAATGCTGGTGATTAGACCAGAGGTAAACACAGATAACTATTAAGTACGTATCCTTCCTTCCAGACATTTTATAAAAATTCAGCAATCACTTATTGAGCACTGACCATACACTTTGTACCACTGTTACATTTTCAACCCTATTCTTCTCTTGTGCTTTAGGGCATTTTGGCTGTGGTGCTGATCATGGGCTTCTTCCAGAAATTTGTGACAGGTGGCATCTCTGAGAATGAATGGAAAAGACTGTGCTCCAGACCAAAGCTGTAAGCAGTAGCTACTCTGTCCACAACCTCCATCTGGGAAAAATCACTTAGACAAAGGATCTTTTATGGAGAAGGTAATCTGATGAGACTTCGAGAGACTGGGGAGCCTCAGGAAAAATGGCCTTGACATATTTCTTTTGTTCTGCTTGACTTCAGGCTTCCATCTTGATTTTGTGATTCCGTGCTTAATGTGTAAAAGGAGAATGGTTGATGGTTGAAAGCTGATTGAAATTGCTAGTTCTTTAGCTTCACTTCTCAGTGTTCCTCTCTTCCTCCCCCTCCCTTTCTACCCATTGAGAAGGCAAGGTGGAGAGGACCTCACGATTTTCTTCCGCATCACTTCCTCCAGGCAGCCTTCCGATGTCCCTCACCCAGTGTGAATCATGTGGCCTTCCACCTACTTGCATAGTATCCTTTAAACTTTGTTGTGGCTCCCATTGCACTGGATTGTGATGTTAATGTAGCTGTCTGTGTATTCTTCGCTAAATCATCTCTCCTTGAGGACAAAAAATGTGCCGGTTCCCTCATTATACTTAGGACCTAGTACACAGCACATGACACTTACCAAATAAAAATATATTGAATGGATGGTAGGAGTTGTCATTTGTGTACAAAGATGGCTATAATAATTTTTCCCATCTCTATATGCAAGTAACTTTGCAATGTGACTTTGAACCTCCCATCAAAGGGTGGGGATTATTCCTTCACTCCTTGAATCTGGGCTTGGCCAATGGGACATTAGCAAATGCGACTCAAGCAGAGGCTTGAAAGGAGCTTTCACAAAAGAGCTGACCCCCCTTTGGCTGTGGCTGTAACCCTGAGACTGAGATGAGAACTAGCCTGAGCTAGCTCAATAAAGAGGCCATATGCAGGAGGACTAAGGATGCCCAGCCAGCAGCCTGCCTATATCCAACTGGAATTGCCAGACATGTGAGTGAGGCCATCTTAGACCATCCAGCCCCAATTAAGACCCCAGATGACTACAGACAGATGAATGACTCCAGGCAAGAGGGAACAAGCCAGTAAGTGTAGGAGTGGTTTATAATGCAGCAATGGATAACTGACACGGATGCTACTTTATAAGTGACAATTCCTTCATGCAGTTTCTCTTCCTTCCTTTCCTTTGGTGGTCATCTCTTGTTTTTTTCCTGTCTAGACTTTATTCACCATGTTCTTGTAGAGCAAATAGATATTTTCAATAGGAAAAATTCTTAGAAGTGAAAATTCTAGGGGCTGGCCCCGTGGCTGAGTGGTTACGTTTGCCCGCTCCGCTGCAAGCGGCCCAGTGTTTCGTTGGTTCGAATCCTGGGCGTGGACATGGTACTGCTCAACAAACCACGCTGAGGCAGCGTCCCACATGCCACAACTAGAAGGACCCACAACGAAGAATATACAACTATGTACCAGGGGGCTTTGGGGAGAAAAAGGGAAAAAATAAAATAAAAAAAAAAAAGAAATGAAAATTCTGAATCAAAGAGTGATAGACATTATGATTTTCTTTTTAGCCTAAAATTTTGATAGTCTTCTTGGTGGTAATATTTTCACAGATGTATATATATCTCAAAACTTATAAAATTTTATACTTTAAATATATACATCTGGGGCCAGCCCAGTGGCACAGTGGTTGAATTTGCACGTTTTGCTTCTTGACAGCCTAGAGTTCACCAGTTTGGATCCGAGGTGCGGACACAGCTCCACTTGGCAAGCGATGCTGTGGTAGGGGTCCCACATATAAAGTAGAGGAAGATGGGCATAGATGTTGGCTCAGGGCCAGTCTTCCTCAGCAAAAAGAGGAGGATTGGCAGTAGTTAGCTCAGGGCTGATCTTCCTCAAAAAGAAAAAGAAAAAAGAAATATGTACATCTTATCATATATCAATTATACCTCAGTAAAACTGTTTAAAATTTGATACAGAAACTGACTATAAGCATGGATTTTACTAATTTGGGGCAGTGGTGTGCTGGTTTGTCCAGCTTGCAAGAGCTGGTGGTTAAATTTTGAGCAAGCCAGTTGTTAAATGCAGTTATCATTAAAAAGTAATGTATACACACAATTAAATTATTTATATTTTTATTGATGAATTATATTATTTAAAAAGTAGTGAGCATGCAAAATATTAAGCATAATACACAGTCTGGTTGAATCTGTGGATGTGAAACCCATGTATATGGAGGGCTGACTAAGGGATTTGAGCATCCACAGACTCTGGTATTTGCAGGGGGTCCTGGAACCAATCCCTCTCAGATTCTGAGGGATGACTGTATAAATAAAACTAATAATACATCATGATCAAATAGGAATGTAAAGATGATCTGACATCAGAAAACCTAGCAAGGTAATTCATTAATGAACTAAAGAAGGTAAAACATGGGATTTTCTAAATAAATGTGGAAAATAATTTGATAAACTTCAATACCCATTTATCACAAGAATTCTCAGAAAACAGAACAGACATAACTTTGATAATCCATCAGAATCCATTATGTACAAACATAATACTTAACAGAGAAACTTTAGATAACATTCCCTTTAAGATCAGGAATAAGACAAGGAAAGCTACTAATGCCATTGTCATTCAACATTTATGTCATGGGCAACAAAAGAGGGCAAACTTAAAAATTAGAAGTGTAAGATATAAGAGGCCAGCCCCGCGGACGAGTGGTTAAGTTTGCACACTCTGCTTGGGCGGTCCAGGGTTCACCAGCTCAGATTCTGGGCATGGACCTAGCACCACTCATCAAGCCATGCTGAGGTGGCATCCCACACAGAGGAACTAGAAGGACCTACAACTAGAATATACAACTATGTACTGGGGGGCTTTGAGGGGAAGAAGGAAAAAAAAAAGAAGATTGGCAAGAGATGTTATCTCAGGGACAATCTTAAAAAAGAAAAGAAAAAGGAGTATAAGTATTAGAAGGTGTGGTAGACAGAATAGCCCCCAAAGATGTCCATGTCCTGATCCCCAGCATTTATGAATATATTACCACTCCTGGCAAAAGAGATTTTGCAGATGTGATTGAGGATTTTAAGATAGGAAATTATCCTGGATTATGTGGGTGGGTCAATGTAATTACAAGGATACTTATAAGTGAAAGAGGGAAAAAGGAGGGTCAGAGATGCGATGTGAGAAACATTCGACTCGCCATTGCTGATTTTGAAGACGGAAGGGGGCCACCAGCCAAGGAACGTGAAGAGTCTCTAGAAGGGGGAAAAGGCGAGAAAATGGATTCTCCCCTAAGGCCTCCAGAAAAGAACGTAGGCCTGCCAGCACTTCGATTTTAGCCTGGTGAGATTCATTTTGGGTTTCTGACCAATTGTAATAAGATAATAAATTTGCGTTGCTTTAAGCCACTAAATTTGTGGCAATTTGTTACAGCAGCACTAGGAATTTAATACAGAAGAGAAGAAACAAAACTATCGTTATTTATAGATGGTATTGTCATCTCTATATAAATCCCAAGAGAATCAACAAATTCTTAGAGATAAATAGACTTTAGCAATAAGGCCAGAGAGAAGATCAACATATGAAACTCAGTAATAATAAACAGATGAATAGATATGCAAAATGTGGTATATACATACAATGGAATATTATTTAGCCTTAAAAAGGAGTAAAATTCTGACACATGCTACAACATGGATGAAACTTGAAAACATTATGCAAAGTCAAATAAGCCACACACAAAAAGACAAACTTTGTATGATTTCACTTATATAAAGTACCTAGAATAGGCAAATTCATGGAGACAGAAAGTAGAATGGTGGCTACCAGAAGCTGGGGCTGGGGGCAGAAAGAGGAATAGGGAGTTGCTTGGGATGATGAAAAAAGTTCTAGAAATGGATAGTGGTGATGATTGTACAGCACTGTGGATGTATTTAATGCCACTGAACTGTACACTTAAAATGGTTAAAATGGTAAATTTTATGTTATGTATGTTTTACCACAATTTAAAAAATAGGAAAAAACTTCAATAATCAATGTCTGGTTAATCACGCCAATTGAATCTAAATGTTTGTTTGGTCCCTCCTGTTACTCTATTAAAAATCACAGTAAAGGACTAAATATCTGGTATGCCCACAGGTCCAAGAACAGTAGCAGAGAAAACATAAATGATGTCAACTCCATTTTGGCAGATGGAAACAAGATGGATTAGTGGGAACTGATTTAGGTTTCAGCTATCTCTTTTCTTCTAAGTCCTCCTGTCCTACTAAGGCCATAAGAAGGAAGAAGCAGCATATTCACTTTGAAGAATAGTTGTAGAAAGCCTCAGGAGTGGGAAACATTAAATACCTCTCAAGGTGGGAGTGGAAGTTAGTGCTAAATAGAGGAACATTAGCTGATAGTTTGTGTAAGAAGTAGCTCTCCGGGCTGGCCTGGTGGTGCAGCGGTTAAGTTGACACGTTCCGCTTCCGCGGCCCGGGGTTTGCCGGTTGGGATCCCGGGTGTGGACATGGCACTGCTTGGCACACCATGCTGTGTTAGGCGTCCCACATATAAAGTGGAGGAAGATGGGCACGGATGTTAGCTCAGGGCCAGTCTTCCTCAGAAAAAAGAGGAGGATTGGTAGCAGATGTTAACTCAGGTCATGTCAGCAGATGTTCGACTGATATGTGTGGGTCAGTCAACCAAATGGCTGGGTCCCTCACCCACGTGAGGCTACCGGATGACAAGCCTTACCCATGCAGAGGTTCTAATTGCCTTTTCTCTACCTCATTCTTAGAAATAAATGGATAGCAAAGGATCACACATTTGATGAGCTCAGGTGAACTAGAGACAATGCAGAGAAGAGAACTAAAAACAAAACAAAACAAAACAAAACAACTATGATCAATATTCCCAGATTGCTCAGAGAGGCATCACACTTAGGAAATAAGAACAGGATATTTTTCAAAAGGAACATTCAGCAGGAAGTTCCTCTTTGAAATAAAAAATATGTAAACAGAAAAAGTTGGAAGATAAAGCTAAGGAAATCTCCTAAGACGTAGAATGAGAAAGAGAGAGGAGAGTAGAGAAAGGGTTGTTTGTTTAGAGGACCCAACAACTAAATAATAGTAGTTTCAGGAAATAAGAGAAAAATAGTTAGGAGGAAAGTATTAAAGCATAAGATAATTTCCCAGAATTAAAGGACGAGTTTTCAAATGGGAAGGACCTACCAACTGCCCAGCATGATTATTGAGGAAAGACCCACACCAAACCAATCTTCATGAAATTTCAGAACACTGAAGACAGAAATCTTAAGAGAAATAAGACAGGTCACACGTAAAAAGTCAGGAATCACAATGACACTGGATTTCTCATGAATATTGGTAGCTAGAAGACAATGGGGAAATGCCTTCAAAATTCTGAGGAAAAATTGATTTTCAGCCTAAAAGTCTAGTCAAACCATAATTCCACTGTGAAGAGATAATAAACACATATTTGAACATATGTGGTCTCAAAAAATATATCTCCTGGGCAAGTTAATTTCTCAGTAAGCTCCAGGAGATTATTTTCACCACAATAAGGATAACATGGGTCCATGAAATAGGGGCTCCAACAGAAATTAGAGACCAAGGGTGACCACGCGAGGAAGTCCAGAATAACAGTTCTTCAGCAGGTCTTTGGAGTCCCTGATCTATGTTGGAAAGGAGGAAGGAAAGCTTCAGAGGCTTTCAGATAGCTGTTTTTTATTATATTGAGAGCAGTTTTAGCGTTATTCTGTAGACATTGAGCATGTGATAGTACATAGAAAACCAAGAAACAAACAAAGCAAGGTCATTTTTAATGCCAGGGAAAACAGAAACTTGAAAAAAAGGACATACCATCATAGCATACTATATGGCTTAGCTGTGAATATCACATGGTTACAACAAGTTAAGCACTGAGTATCAATTTTTTAAAATTGTAGTAAAACTATACTGGGAGAATGAAGAAGGAAGAGCATGTGAGTGTGAATCTGTATGTCTGTGTCTGCTATAAAATGGAGCAAAATCCTATCTCTATAGTAAGGAGTCAATAGATAATATCTAAAATAGGAACATTTAAAAATGGGGATGTCTGGAGCCAGCCCTGTGGCCCAGTGGTTAAGTTTGCGCACTCCGCTGCAGGCGGCCCAGTGTTTCATTAGTTCGAATCCTGGGCGCGGACATGGCACCGCTCATCAAGCCATGCTGAGGTGGCATCCCACATGCCACAACTAGAAGGACCCACAGCGAAGAATATACAACTATGTACAGGGGGCTTAGGGGAGAAAAAGGAAAAAAAAAAAAAAAGAGAAATGGTGATGTCTTGTTTAGAGATATGGAGGCAAATACCAGAAAAAAGAGCTAAGAGGGGGCAGGTGGTGGCTTCTGAGGAGTAGGGCCTGAGGTCGGGGAGGGATAGAACAAGAGAGTATTGAACTTTATTATAAACCTTATAGGTCTATTTTATTTTAAAATTTATGTACTTATATTACTTTAAAAATCAGATCTCTCAAAATTTATCTATGAATCAAAGGCAATTCCAACAAAAACGCCATCAGTATATTTTGAGAAATTGGACAAACTTATTCTTAGTAGAATAACTAAATTAATTTTGGAAACAAGGAGAAAGAGGGGACTAGCTCAATCAGATTTTATGATATAATATGAAGCCATAGTCATAAAAACAGAACGATGATGCTATAGGAATAGATACATAAACCACAGGAACAGAAAAGAGAGCTCAGAAACAGACCCACACATCTATGGGAATTTGATAAAAGATGATGATGACACCACAGTTAATATGGGAAGGATGAATTATTCAGTAGATGACGTCAGAAGAACTGTCTCACTATTTGGAGAAAAATAAAGAATGATTCCTGTTACCTACTGGACACTAATGTGCACTCCAGAGGAATTAAATATCTGTATGCGAAAGCTAAGAGAATGCAAAAAAGACAGAAACCCACTACAAAAATGGGCAAAAGCTATCAATAGGTAATTCACAGAAGGAGAAACACAAATGACTCTTAAGAATGAGGAGATGTTCAAACTCACTGATACTCAATGAAATTCAAATTAAAACAATGAAATGCCATTTTATACCTACAAGGGGCAAAAATTAGAGAGTTAGAAAATAGCAATTGATGGTGAGAATTAGAGAAATAAAAATCCTTTTGTGTCGTGCAAACTGGTACAGATGTTCTGGAAAGAAATCTGGCAGAACTGAGGACATCAAGGATGTAAACACCCAACAACCAGCAATCTCAGATTGGAGTATGTACTCCAGAGAATTCTCAGATCCATAAGGGGTCATGTACAAGGATTACACTGCAGCTTTGCTGTGGACATGAGGAGTTGGGAGCATCCGAGGTGTCCATCACTAGTGAAATATTTGGGTGCATCCTGTGTAATTCTTCTCAGCAGTAGGACCTGTGAGCCAGCTGTATACGCAGCAGCATGAGTAGGTTATAAAAACAGAAGGTTGAATAAAGAAATGAAAGAAACAGAAAAGGATCCTTAGATCAATACTATTTATGTAAATTTAAAACATACGCACAAAACAGAAGTATGTATTTTACAAGAATACATACATATCCAAGGGTACATTTCAAAAGTATAACAGTGTGTGTTTATGTGGGAGAGGAAAGAGAACGGAGACCTAGAACAAGGGAGGCAGGGGGCCGGCCTGTGGCTGAGTGGTTAAGTTTGTGTGTTCCGCTTCGGCAGCCCACGATTTTGCCAGTTTGGATCCTGGGCATGGACTTAGTACCGCTCATCAAGCCATGCTGAGATGGCGTCCCACATAGCACAACCAGAGGCACTCACAGCTAGAATATACAACTATGTACTGGGGGGCTTTGAAGAGAAGAAGAAGAAGAAAAGAATAAGAGAGGGGTTAAAATAAGTGAAGGGCCTTACACAGACCACGTGCACTATGAACTGAGGAATCTGATGGACTCAACTCTGAGCATGCAAGTCACTCCCAGCCCCTAATTTTTTTTTCAGCAAAAATCTCAATGGAATTCTTAAGGATTTTGTGACATAATTCTAAAGTTTTTCTGGAAGAATAAAAAATGAAGAAAAGATCAGAAAACTTCAAAAAAGAAGAGCGTCTAGGGATGACTTGGCCTACCAGATAATAGAATGCATAAGTGAGGCCGCAGTCACTGGAACTGTATGTTACTGGCACAGGAATAGACAGAGGAATCAATAGAACAAAAAAGACAGGGCAGAAATAGACCCGAGAACGTAGCAAGAGCTATTAGATGGTAGGAGTGGCATTTCAATCAGTGAGGGAAATGCTGGATTTTACAACAAATGATATTGGGGAAAATTGACAAATGGTTTTGGGAGAAGTTTGAAAATATATACAGCAATAATTAAGACCTCTGGAAGTAGACGAACTCGGAGTTCGAATGTCAGTTTTGCTCCTGATTAGCTGTGTAATTGCAAGCAAGATACTTAACCTCCCTAAGCCTCATTTCTCCCCTATTTAAAAAGAAGGTAATAAAAGAGACTACTTCATATGATTGTGAGGATTAAAAGAGATAATGGGTGTTAAAAAGTAAAAACATGGTGCCTATTACACAAAATATGCCTCATAAATGTTGGCTGGTATTATTTCTACCCTATACCACATGCAAAGTAATGTACAAAATGAAACCATAAACGTTCCAGAAAGAAAATAAATGCATATTATTATAATCTTGGGGAGCAGAAGGACTTTCTAAATATGATCCTAAGGGTAGAAAACATGAAGGAAAACATAAAAGTTCTGACTACAAAAAGGAAAAAACAAAAAACTTCCTTATGCCAAATCCCACCACATACAAAGCTAAACTACAAATAGCAAACTGGGGAAAATATTTACAATATATGTAATAGACAAACAGTTAATAGTCTCTTACTAATCAACAAGGAAAAGATGGATACAGCAATAAAAAATGCACCGAGAACATTAACAAATAAACAAACAAGCAAAAAAGAGATTACAAATACATAAACAGGAAAATGTTCAACCTCCCTAATAAAGAATGCGAGTTAAAATGGAATCCCATTTTTCACATATCAAATTAGCACAATAGATTTTTATGATAATATTCACTTTTACTAAGCACATTTTTGAATGCTTGTCTCATTTACCTCCTATTTTCAGATAATCTACTTCCATTGGCAGCCCTTGATGAGCAAGCCACCAGGTGGAACCAGTAAAACGTGAAGGACTGAAGCCGATTGGTCAAGAGATGGACGCCTTATTCGAAGGGAGTCAATCCACCAACAGGTCCGCTATTTGTGGGTTTTGTGGCCAAGTTGGGAAAGATGAGCTTGACCTAACATATTCTCCTCTCAAGAAATAACACACCTTGTCCAATCCAAGGTAGCCAATTGAATGGAAACGCTGTGAAGTATCACGGCTGGGGCAGGATGTTTGCCGGCATGTGCAAGACTGAGTCAAGAAGAAATAAGACCCGGAGGAAGACAGTTGCAAGGGAGCTAGAAGAAAGCTGAGCAGTTGCACCTTCAGCAGCAGAAAAACCATCAGAGAGACAGAGAGGGTCGCTGGTCCCAAGATGACCGGCTCCTGTCCTCTCTGAGGCTCCTGGTTCGTTTTTGCTTTCCTCAGATTTTTTGATCTTTATGTTAAACCTTCGTTTTACTTGTGCTATTTCCAGCATGTTTCTTTTTCCTGCAATCAAAAGAACTCTGACTAGAACACAGCGTTGGTGACACAGAGGCAAAATGGTTGCTTTCATACGTGTGGAGGCCAGTGTCAGACACCTTAAAAAAGCAGATTCAGCAATTCTACATCTTGTTCTTGATGCTCAGGATAAAATCGCAGAACTGGATGGGACATATCACTTCATTGAGTGTTCACCACGTGTACTGATGCTTTACACATCAAATCATTTTATCCTCACAACAAACGGAGATTAGAAAATTCCTATGCTTGTTCTATAGATGAAGAAATTGACGCACCAAGAAGCATGGCAGAGACAGGGTTGCTCATCCAACATTCTACCTGCTCCCCCACACTTCCCAGCCCCTTACCCTTGGGCAAGGCCAGAGGCGCTGGCAGAGTAAAGCCTGTGTGTGATTCTCCAGCTCTTCTCTTCCCCTGCATGGTGCCCAGAAAGGCAGTGCCCACACAGGGCGGTGGACAGGGTAGCACAGCCTCTATCAACCTGGTACCTCGAGTGTCTCCCAGAGCAGAGCCTCCGCTTCCTCCACCAGCCCACTTTGCATATTGGATATGCACTGTAAATAAGAAATAAATCTTTGTTTGTTGTGCTACCAAGATTTCAGTGTTTGTTTTGTTGTTTTGTTTTAACTGTAGCACAACCTGGCTACTCTAACATATCCAAGAGGGTCTGGGTAACTTACCCAAGGGGACACAGCTAGTACATGGCAGAGCCAGGATTCGAACCCAGGTCCACCTGTGTTCTTTTTAAAAAATTGTGGTAAAATATACTTAACATAAAATTTACCATTTATAAGTGTATAATTTAGTGGCGTTAAGAACCTCCACAGTGTTGTGTAACCATCCCCACTTTCTATTTCCAAAACTTTTTCATTATTCCGAACAGAAACTCTGTATCCATTAAACAATAACTCCCCATTCCTCTCTCCTTCGACCCCTGGTGATCACCATTCTACTTTCTGTCTCTGTAAATTTGCCTAATCTAGGTACCTCATATAACTGAAATCATACAATATTTGTCCTTTTGTGTGTGGCTTATTTCACTTAGCATAATATTTTCAAGACTCAGATATTTTGTAGCATGTGTCAGAATTTCATTCCATTTTATGGTTGAATGATCTTGCATTGTATATATATATATACACACCACATTTTGTTTATCCATTCATCTTTTGATGGATATTTGGGTTGTTTCCACCTTTTGGCTATTGTGAATAATGCTGCTATGTCTGTTTGGGTCCCTGAGTTCACTTCTTTGGGGTATACACCTAGGGGTGGAATTTCTGGATCATATACTAATTCTATGATTAATTTTCTAGGGAACTGCCAACCTCTGCTTTTTTTTCTCCTTTCCTTTTCTAATAAAGTCAAGTTTATTAAGGAATAATTTACACACAGTAAAATTCACTTTTCAGTGTACAGTTCTGTGAGTTTTGTCCAACACATGTGGTCACATAACTACCACCACAATCAAGATATACAACAGTTCCATCACCCCAAAAAGTCCCCTTGTGCTCCTTTGTGGTCCCTCCCAAACCATTACCCCAGCCCCTGGCAGCCATTGATCTGATTTGTCCCTACAGTTTTTTCCAGAATGTCATACAAATGGAATCATTGGAGCCTGGCTTCTTTTACTCAGCACTATCTATTCGAGATTCACCCATGTCAGTGTATCAATAACTTGTTCCTTTTTATTGCTGAATAGTATTTCATTGTATGGCTGTGCCACATGTATTTATCACTTCCCCAGTTGAGGGACATTTGGTTTGTTTTCAGTTTTTGGCAATTGTGAATAATGCTGCCACAGGCATTTGCGTACAGGTCCTTTTGCAGACATGTTTTTATTTCTCTGAGTCAATACCTAGGAGTGGGATTTCTGAGTGATATGGTAAATGCATGTTCAACTACTTTAAACTGCCTACCTGTTTTCCAAAGAAGCTGTAACTTTTGTTGTTGTTGTTGTTTTGGTGAGGAAGATTGCCCCTGAGCTAACATCTGTGCCAGTACTCCTCTATTTTGTATGTAGGATGCCGCCACAGCATGGCTTGATGAGTGGTGTGTACGTCTGCACCCAGGATCCGAACCTGCGGACCCTGGGCCACTGAAGTGGACTGCACAAACTTAACCACTACCCACCAGACAAGTCCTGAAGCTATACCATGTTTGTTTTTCCACCAGCATGCATGAGAGTTCTAGTTCTGTATCCTCTATAACACTTGGTTTGCCAATTTGTTTATTTTTATTTTAGCCATTCTAATAGGTGTGTGGTGTGGTATCTTAATATGGTTTTAAATTTTTATATCTCTAATGGCTAATGATATTGAACTTTTTTCACGTGCTTACTTGCCATCTTTTTCTCTTACCCGATGAAGTGTCTGTTCAAATATTATACCCATTTTTGAATTGGGTTGTTTTCATTTTGTTGAGCGTGAGTGTTCTTTGTATATTCTGGATACAAATCTTTTATCAGATGTGTGTTTTGCAAACATTTTCTCCCAATCTGTGTCTTGCCTCTTCATTTTCTTAACAATGTCTCTTGAAGAGCAGAGGTTTTCATTTTAATGAGTCTAATTTATCAATTTTTTATTTTATAGTTCATGTTTTTTTGGGTCTTATCTATGAAAATTTTGCCTAACCTTCAGTCACAAATATTTTCTCCCATACTTTATTCTAGAAGGTTTATAGTTTTAGGTTTAAATTTAGCACCTGACATCCCAGCTAAGCTACCAGGAGTGGATATATAAATATAAACTCAGAGATATAAAACTCAGAGATAATCCTGACATAAAAAGAAATGCGTGTCCTACAATTCATTTCTTTGCTTTACTTTTCTCTTTTTCAGTGAGGAAGATTAGCCCTGAGCTAACATCCATGCCCATCTTCCTCTATTTTGCATGTGGGATGCCACCACAGCATAGTTTGATGAGCAGTATGTGGGTCCATGCCTGGGATCTGAACCTGAGAACCCTGGGCTGCAAAGCAAAGCGAGCAAGTGAACTTAACCACTATGTGCCGGGCTGGCCCCTTTACCTCATTTTTGTATATGGTACAAGGTATGGCTCAAGGTTCTTTTTTTTTTTTCATATTGATGTCCAATTGGCCCAGCACCATTTGTTGGAACCAATCTGTTTTTAACTTAACTGCTACATTGTATTGTAAATAATAGCTCTTTCCCTCATTTGTTCCAAAGTCTAGTGAGGCTTGGGGATATACAGGTGACACCCTTGTACTATTCTTTATAGTTTACAAAGTACTTTTGATTATATAATCTCACTCGACCCACAATCAACCCTGTGAGGTAGGAAGAAAAATATTATTACTCTTGTTTTACAGATGGAGAGACCCAGAGAAGCTAAGTGCTTGGTAAGATAACAAAGCGTTTGGTGAGAGCCTCTGGATTCCAACCAGGTCTTCTCCCAGTCGGTGCTGTTTTCAATACATTAGTGACCTTCAGTAAACACAGAGCTGCCTTTTCCAAGATCCAGGTTATTCCCATCAATCTGCCCAGTACTCAGGAGCACTGGAAGCAAAAGTCAATACTCACTACTTAATTTTGAGCTTACCAGTCCTTGAAAACTGGAAAGGCTAAGAGATTTGGTGCAACTGAGATCTGAGAAAAGGGTCATTTGGACTACCCATGAGAAGGGCACATGTCTCAACCCAGCTATGTGAACTGGCCAAAGTCACGCAATCTTCATTGTATAAAACATAATCAAAAATCTTTTTTGGCGGGGGGCGGACCAGTGGCACAGAGGTTAAGTGCGCATGTTTCGCTTTGGCAGCCCGGGGTTCACCGGTTTGGATCCCAGGTGTGGACATGGCACCGCTTGGCAAAAAGCCATGCTGCGGTAGGTGTCCCACATATAAAGTGGAGGAGGATGGGCACGGATGTTAGCTCAGGGTCAGTCTTCCTCAGCAAAAAGAGGAGGATTGGCAGCAGTTAGCTCAGGGCTAATCTTCCTCAAAAAAAAAATCTTTTTTTTTTCTACTGAGGAAGATTTGACTTGAGCTAAGATCCACTTCATTGGAGGGAGCTCTTGGGAGCCATTTTGCTGTCACCTAGCTCTGCCTCCCTCGCCATGGCTATTTGGACCAGAGGTGGACAGGTCAGCTGGGTTAATGATTAGATTGTACCTTTGGGGAATTTAGGATTGGACTGAGAAACAGATCAGCAGTCTGTGGTTGGCTGGAATATTGACATATGAACAGCAGCCATATTCTGCCTGTCAGGTAGATCAGAGGGGAACTAAAAGCAGATATGCAGAGAGAAAAGGGATGAAGCAGAGAGGGAGAAGTAGGGACTCAAGATTGCTTTACTGCTCCTGGTTCCAGACCTTTTCAGAGGCCTCACTGCCTGTCTGTCCTTTGGTGCTGTGAAAGCACCTCTCTGTCCTTTACAAATTGCCCCTTATTTCTTAAGCTAACTCAAATGGGCTTCTGTTACTTACAACCAAAGAGTCCTAACTAATACAATAGAGGTAAATTGAGTTACCATGGAGTAGAGAGACATGGCCTTGAACTGGCTTATGGGGATATAAAAAGAGAGCCAATTTTTTAGACGATGAGTGCTATGAGCAGGAGACAGAATTTTCCCCCCTTTTATTCTTTATAAAATAAATTGCATGAAAAGTTAAGAGCAGCCGAGTGAATATCAGCTTGTACAATGAGAACAAGGGAGAGTACTATTTAGGTTACAGTATCATTTGTTTCCCACTGGGACAGAGCAAGGAGGAGAAGTGAGAAGGGAAACTGGAGTGGAAGGGAAGTCAGTGGAGGAAGAAAGGAAAAGTCCGACATGGTGTGGTACCTGGAAAATTTTTATGTCTCTACATTTAGAAACTCCCTAACCTTTGGAGGAAGAATGCTGATCAACTGCCAGGTATTATTTTGTAAATTAGATGCTCTCTGTGAAATTGGCCTTCTGACACATTTCCAGCCATTTTTCTGAAGCAGCCCCTGTGAAACTCTGACTCGCTCTTTACAAGAGGAATTAAACGCTGTGGCCTCCTGTTCTCCTCCTTGTCCAGAGTCTCAGTTTCTTTGCCATGTTCCTGCCTTTGTCATTAGCTGTGATGAACAGAATGAACGATGCCCAGAGGCAGGCAGGACAATGGGGCTGATTCATGGTTTGAGAAAACAGGGAATTGTCATAGAGCAAACACTGGCCCTCCTTTTTGCTGGGGACACTGCAATGTTTAGCTGAAAACATCTTGTTTGGACTCTTCCAACCAGTGGATAAGCTTCTAAATGACAGGCACAATATGGGGTTCCTAGGGTCCCTAGGGGCGCTTAAGACAATACTGAGATACTGCTGGCAGAGCTGTGCTCTTTGTAAACAAACAGAGAGAGGTTATTCAAGCAGCTGTTAATTTCATTAAGAAGCCTCATTTTAAGGTCCCAGGACAGGCATTTCTTTTTATGGCAGGATTATCTCTGAGTTTTATATTTGCATCCACTCCTGGTAGCTTAGCTGGGATGTCAAGCGCTAAGCTTACATTTGGATTGGTGTTTTTGCTGGGCTTCAGAAAGAATTTACCTTTAGGCAGACTAAATTTGACCAAAAATAAATTTGATGAGTATTTAGAACTATTTTTATATATTTTTATTGGTATCATATTGTACATACTGTTTTGTGATCTTTTTCACTGAGCACTGTAATATGAAGATATTAATTTGTCAAATTTTAATCTACAATATCACTGTTAATGAACG